TCTCCCGGGCGTCAGTTAGCTTGTCTGAGAAATGGGGAGATTCCGGCTTAGCTGGCAGGGTTGTGGTGAGCTTTCTGTGTGGTGATGTGGGCATGGCCATGGTCCCAGCGAGGGCCTCTGCCTTCCATTGATTGTCCTCTCATGGATGCAGGGAGGCCAGGCTGAGCTCTGGGGTAGCTGAGCCAGAGCCGCTTTCTCTGTGAATCAGCTGCCCCGCCCCACACTTTCCCAACAACTCCTTCCCCCTTCCCCATTCCCCTTTCACTTCCCCGGGCCTCCAGGAGGGGTGTCCCCATCAGACCCCACTCCCCTGACTCCCGCCCAGGCAAGAAGGTAGCAGAGATCAGGTGACCCCTAACTCTGGTGCCCAGCCCTGGGCCTGGAGCTTGGGACCCCATGTTACTTACTGGCTGCTCCCAGCCCCCTGGGTCCAGATGTCTCTCAGCTCCTTCCCACAGCCCAGGGACAGAGGTGTGAGGCTCGGGGTCTGGATGGCACGCTACCTGATTTCTCAGCCACCTGTCTGTGTGATTCCTGGCTGGTGGGAGGGGGGGCTTGTTTGCCAGTACCCTAGGCTGTCAGTGTCAGGAGCCTCCAGAACTCCACCTGGCTTGAATTTGAAGTTGCTGTTGACCTCCCCCCACTTGATCCAACCTGTTGTCCAGCTTCTCAGGCCCCTGTCTGGAAAACCTCTGCAGAGGAGTCTGGCATCCAAGCGTTCCTTGGCCTCTGGGTGAGTTTAGGCAGGTCACCACCCACTCCAGGCGAGTTGCTGTGGGCCCAGTTGATGAGTGGGCTTCAAGGACTTCCTGGGGCCACAACTTCAGGACAGGCCTGAGGCAGGGACACCCCAGCTTTCCCATAAACCCAATCTGTCTAGGAGGGTCTTCAGGCCCTGCAAGGTCCTCTCCTTCTCAGCACTTGGGGTCTGTCTGGGTTGCCTCAGTTCCATCTCTCACCTGGAGAATGGGGACAGCTAGCCCTCCTGGCAGAAGGGCCTGGGGAGCAAGAAGAAAGGGCTCAGCTGGTGGGTGTAAGAGGAGGGGCATAAGGAAACTTATTTTCTATTTCTGAAAATTCACTCAAATAGGCAAGTCTGGAACTCCCCAGGAGGGCCAGGCCTTCAAGTGCCCTGCGGGACAGGAAGAGAGAGGGTAGTTTTTAAGGATTTTTAAAACTCTCCCAGGAAGTGTCAGAAGTTCTCTGTTTCTCCAGGGCAGGGATCCCCCTTGGGTGGGGTAGATGCCTCCACTAGGGATTTGGGGAAATCCTGGGGCAGCTGAGGCTGGGAGAGACCCTGGCTAGAGACTGGGCCTGGGTGGGGACCAAGGTCCTGGCTGATGCCCAGGAGAGCACAGAGGGCCGAGCCCGGCTCTCCTGCCTCAGGGGCCCCTCTCAGTTGGCCAGCTACCTCCTCAGAGGTGCCCTCCCTGACTGCCCTTTAAGAAGCTCCCTCTCCCTAATGAGACCTGCAGTTTTCCTTCCCAGGGATCAGGACTTGTCTTACTGTGCTCTTGTTTGCGGTCTACCTCAGAGATCACACCTGCTTTATTCGGGGTGTTGCTCAAAACAGTACTTGGTGTGTCCCACTCTGGAAGCAAGCATGAGTGTTTGGCACTGGTGCGACAGATGCAGGATCAGTGTGATCTAGGAGGTTTGGCTCCTGGCTGTGCCTTTGCTGTGTGATTTTAGCTAGGTGGCTCACCCTCTCTGTATAGGAAAGCTACTACTGTTACAGTAGAGGAGTGAGGAAGTCCTGGCAGGCTTCCTGGAGGGGGCAGCCCAAGAACTGAGGAAAAATTGGGCAGGAGACAGAGGAAACCCAAGCCCAATCCCTCCAGAATTCTGAGGTCCAGAATTTCCACCGTAGCCCATGCTGGGAGCAGGGGAAGAGGTCAGGGGAAAGAGGTGGCAGGAGAGAGCAGACCTGGGAACTCAGGACCATTGCTGTGTGACCAAGGGCTGGTGGCTTTCTTCTTTGGGCCTCAGGAGATAAGCACTGAGGAGGGAGGTGGGACCCAGGAATTCAGACTTCGGAACAACTGTTGGACTTAGTCCCTGGGGACACTCCAGGGGACACTCCATCCAGGGAGGAGCAGTGTGAGGCCCTGGGGACCCTGTGCCTGGAATCCTTTTCCCTGGACTCCAGTCTAGCCTCAGTTTCTTCATCTGTGGAAAGGGGGTGTGTGTGCTCACTCGTGTGGCCCCACAAAGAACACCTGCTGTGGCGCACTGCCTGGCCTCCTGTGGCCAAGGGTCTGGGTGGAAATGCCCCTCCCCTCCTCGGCTCCACATCAGTTCCCACCTCTGAAAATTGGAGCTTGGGGTCCCCGCCTGGCAGCTGTGGGGCCTGAATGCCCAGAGCAGGCGCGGTGGCAGGGCGGCTGCTTCCCTGCAGAGGGCAGGGGGCGGTCCTTTGGTGTTGACCATAAATGTCCGGAGCGGGAGGGTGAGAGGCTTTGCAGGGTGGGGAAGCGGCAAGATAGAAAAAAGCACCAGAAAGGCAGGTGAAGTCCCCACTGGCTGAGCCGGGCTGAGGGCTCCTGTGGGCTGTGTGCCTGCCCTGGTGACAGCTCTGAAAACTCCCTGCGAGGGCAAAGTTCTCAAGCGAAGAACCTGTTCACTTCCTCTCCCGCAAGGCTCCTCCCCCTTCCTCTGGCCTCTCCACTTCCTCTTTTCTTCCTGCTCGTTTTCTCTCTTCGAGTCGTCTTCCTCTCCCAACCAGGCTTGCAGCCCAGCCCCCTCCCAGGGGTCCTTCGTCCCCAGGGTCCTTTCTGAGGGCTGAGGACATCCAGGCACCTGTCGACTCACAGGGCAGGGCCCTGAAGGGTTCAGTGTGAGGAGGAGGATGTGACAAAGAGCCTAGAGGGGAGGCCACGTTATAAATACCGGCCCAGTGCAGTGGTCTTCAGTGGATGGAGGTGTCTGTTGCAGAAGCTAAAAGGCTTTCCCAAGGACGGGTCTTCTGGGATGGGCCTTGAAGCATGCATAGGAGAGCACCAGGAACTGGCTGCTGTAGACAGAGGGCCAGGAGCGCTCCAGCCTGAGGTCAGGTGGGGCTGGGTACTCCGGCCCCTCAGCCAGCCCCTGGTTTACAGCACAGGTCCTGTTTAGGGACCAGACCTGCTCTCTAGCCCTTGTAGCTGTCCAGAGCCATCCCAGAGTCTCTCATCTCCTGTCCTGAAGCCCTGGTCCCAGCCTACCCAGCACCTCACCAGGCTCAGCCAATGGCTAGAAGCAGCCCTCATCGACAGGCAACAAAAAGGGCCTCCCCACCCCCACACCAGCCCGAATTGCAGGGTTGGCAGGTCCCAAGGTGGCTGGCTAGGTGCCAGACTCTGAGACACAAGGCCAGGGACAGGGCAGTCTGGCCCTGGGAGGCAGGGAGTGGACAGGTTGGCAATATTTGCCTGGCCCAAGGTAGTGATGGGGGAGCTGTGGCCAGTCTCTGCCCAGTTTTCTGGGAATGTCAGCGTGTGGCTCTGAGCCTGTGTGCTCTGTTGTCCTCTGAGTGATGGTCACCCTTCCCGCATGGTTGTGGTGAGTGCCCTGCCACCAGCCTCCTATGGTGGGCAGGGCCGAGCCACCTCTTCTCAGGCCACAGATTCCTTATCCATATATGGACTAATTGTTTGCTGGTTTCAACACACACTTGGTGAGCACCCACTATGTGCTACAAAGCCCTGGGTGGGCCTAGGGTACCCAGGGACAGACCAGTGGTGATAGGCCAGTGCCCCCACCTAGACCACCCTTCCTGTTTCCCTTCGTATGAAAATTCAGGTTCTTGTCAACACCTTTGAGAAGGTGCATGCTCCTTTAGGCTGAGCCCTGTGCCTCTCTGAGATCCTGTGGCCCCCTGGTCTTCTGTCTGCCACACACAGATCACTGTGGGCCACCATCTGAGTGCAGGCTCTGGCAGTGCTTGGAGCAGAGAACCACCCAGAACACTCCTGGGCACCCAGGACTTGCCTAGTGCTTGGGTGGAGAGACACAGGGCAGGAAAGGGTGACAAGGAGAGGGTCATCTCTGAGGGCAGCTGGCCTTCAGCTACTCTCCTTGCTGCCCCGCCCCCTCACCCTAACTCATCTTCCACTCATTGAGTGTCCTTCCCTAGTTCTTGGTGGCCTCCAGATGGTCCAGGAGAGCAGTTCAGCTGTGACTACACATGACAGATGAGAGATGGTGGGCCCTAGGCCTCATTGCTGGGCTGGGCAGCCCTGCCCACCTGTGCCCAGCAGTGCCTGGATCACCAGCTAAAGGCCCAAGCCTGGCCTTGCCTGAATGGGACCAGCCAGTCCTGAGAGGTAGCCTAGTTCTATGGAACAGCTTCTCAGCTTCACAGAGCCCACCTCCCCCTCAGGCTTGCAGCAGTGGCGGCTTGAGCCCTCTTCACACGGAACTTGTAACCTGGCCCCTGAGGTGTGCCCTATCCTTGCAGACTGTGGTCCTGAGGACCCTGTTAAGTGATTACAAGTCCCTTGATTCCCCTGCAACACCATACTTCTTAACCCCAGGTCTCTTTGAGTAGTAACGCCCCCCACTTAGCAAGCTGAGGATCCTCAGGTTTTCTGGGCACTTGAGCTAATGTTGGCAACGGAGGTGGGTGGCTGTTGTGACTCCCTGACCTCTCCTTCCCGGCAACTGCTGCTTAAGCACGCACCCACCAGGGACCCTCTCATCCGTGCTGATTGTTGCCCACCGGGTTACTCATTGCTTATGTGACATCCACACTGAGGGTGTCCCGGGATTGGGGACCCGGAGAGACAGGCAGGTGGGGGGTGCGGGCCGGACCGGGCACTGCCCAGGGGGACGGAGGCCCATGGGCCTAGCACCCCAAGTTGGCCAACGCTAAATCCCTCTCCCTCCTCCTCTTCCTCAATCTCTCTCTCTCTTTTTTTTTGCAAAAGGAGGGGAGAGGGGGTAAAAAAAAAATGCTGCACTGTGCGGCGAGGCCGGTGAGTGAGCGGCGCAGGGCCAATCAGCGTGCGGCGTTCCGAAAGTTGCCTTTTATGGCTCGAGCGGCCGCGGCTGCGCCCTATAAAACCCGGCGGCGAGACGCGCAGCCACCGTCGAGACCGCGTTCAGTCCGCGAGCACAGGCCTCTCGCCTTCGCCGTTCCACCGCCACCGCCGGTTACACCACCACCCGGTAAGGCCCCGCTGGTCGGGCCCCGCGCCTGTCGGGCAGGCGGCACCCCAGGGTCTCGGCGCGTGCAGTGCCCGGACTCCTTGCTTGGGCCAGGCTGCGCTCCCCTCCACCGCGCGCTCCCAGCCACTGCTGTCGGGGCTGGAACGGCTAAGGGTTTGTCCGAGCGTGGTTGCTCGCTCGGTTGGCGGGAGGGCAGGCGGGCGGCTGGGCCGCTGAATGGGCGCGGCGGTGTCGCGGGTCAGGTGGGGGCTGGGGACTCGGTAATCGGGTGCGCGTGCGCGCCGGCCTTGGACCCGCGGCCCGGCCAGCCGGAAGGGGTGGGGTCGCCGCGTCGCGAGGGCTCCTGCGTGCACTTACCGCGCCACCGACTCCCGGGGTGTGGCAGCCGCGCGCCCGGCCGGCTGGCGCTTTTTGAACAGGTTAGGGGCGGGGCCGGCACCCAGTGGGGAGGGGGTGGGGGCCTGGCTTCCTGCCGCACCACGGGGCCGCCTCAAACCAGCGTTTGCCTTTTATGGTAATAACGTGGCCGGCCGGGCTTCCTTTGTCCCCAATCGGGGCGCGCGCCGGCGCCCCCTGGTGGCCCGCCGGAAGTGGGCTGGGCGGGGGCGGCCCCACCCGGTCCGGCTTACGGCCCGCGGTCCCCGCAGCTCGCCATGGATGACGATATCGCTGCCCTCGTGGTCGACAATGGCTCCGGCATGTGCAAGGCTGGTTTCGCGGGCGACGACGCTCCCCGGGCCGTCTTCCCTTCCATCGTGGGGCGCCCCCGGCACCAGGTAGGGGAGTCGGCTGCGTCTGGCCTGGCGGGTGGGCCCTCACCCTGGGGGGCGGACCCTTTGCATACTGGTTGGGGCTCGCTGGGGCCGTGCGGGTTCTGAGGACGCCTTGCTTTCCCTCCGTAGGGCGTAATGGTGGGCATGGGCCAGAAGGACTCTTATGTGGGCGATGAGGCCCAGAGCAAGAGGGGCATCCTGACTCTCAAGTACCCCATTGAGCATGGCATTGTCACCAACTGGGACGACATGGAGAAGATCTGGCACCACACTTTCTACAATGAGTTGCGTGTGGCCCCCGAGGAACACCCCGTGCTGCTGACCGAGGCCCCTCTGAACCCTAAGGCCAACCGTGAGAAGATGACCCAGGTCAGCAGCCCACTGGCCTTCCCCCGCAGCCATGCCTCCCTTTCATGCTCTTCTGTGCCACGCCCTCCTCACTTGTTCTTTCTTCTACCATTCTCCTAGGATTTTCTTCTCTGACCTGAGTCTCCTTTGGAACTCTGCAGGTTCTAAATGCTTTTTCCAGACGGAATCTTTCCTGTGTTTGCTTTTCTGACTAGGTGTTGAAAACGTAGTGTTGTGGGTGTTAGGTACTAACACTGGCTTGTGTGATGAAGCCAATGGGACTGGTGTAAATGGACTTGGAGTGTGTATTCAGTAGGTGCACAGTAGGTCTGAAGTGGATCCCCAGCACACTTAGCCATGTTCCTTGCACTCTGCATGTACCTGGTCTGGCTGACTGCTCTTCTGTTTTCCCAAGTGTGACAGCCCATATCTCCCCACAGATCATGTTCGAGACCTTCAACACCCCAGCCATGTACGTTGCCATCCAGGCTGTGCTGTCCTTGTACGCCTCTGGCCGCACCACTGGCATTGTGATGGACTCCGGGGACGGGGTCACCCACACTGTGCCCATCTACGAAGGTTATGCCCTGCCCCACGCCATCCTGCGTCTGGACCTGGCTGGCCGGGACCTGACTGACTACCTCATGAAGATCCTCACGGAGCGCGGCTATAGCTTCACCACCACAGCTGAGCGGGAGATTGTGAGGGACATCAAGGAGAAGCTGTGCTACGTTGCCCTGGACTTCGAGCAGGAGATGGCCACCGCTGCATCATCGTCCTCCCTGGAGAAGAGCTACGAGCTGCCCGATGGGCAGGTCATCACCATTGGCAATGAGCGGTTCCGCTGCCCGGAGGCACTCTTCCAGCCCTCCTTCCTGGGTGAGTAAGGGGGCCTGTCTGGCCCCACCCTACTTAAGGACCTTGTGAAGGCCATGCTGGAAGCTAAGCCTGGTTTTCCTTTGCCTCCAGGCATGGAGTCCTGTGGCATCCATGAAACTACCTTCAACTCCATTATGAAGTGTGACGTTGACATCCGTAAGGACCTCTACGCCAACACAGTGTTGTCCGGTGGGACCACCATGTACCCAGGCATTGCTGACAGGATGCAGAAGGAGATCACCGCCCTGGCTCCCAGTACGATGAAGATCAAGGTGAGTCCACCAAGCCTGGTGGCCTTGGTGTGGGGATGGGCCATGCGAGGCAGGTAACCTGGTGTGGTCTCGATGCTGTGGGCTCCTAAGGTCCAGGACCTTTGTGCTGATTGTCCCCTTCCCTCCCCAGATCATTGCTCCCCCTGAGCGCAAGTACTCTGTGTGGATCGGCGGCTCCATCCTGGCCTCGCTGTCCACCTTCCAGCAGATGTGGATCAGCAAGCAGGAGTATGACGAGTCCGGCCCCTCCATCGTCCACCGCAAATGCTTCTAGGCGGACTGTTGCGTTACACCCTTTTTTGAGAAACCTAATTTGCGCAGAAAACGAGATTGGCATGGCTTTATTTTTTTTTGGTTTTTTGGTTTTTCCTTTTTTTTTTTTTTTGGCGCTTGACTCAGGATTTAAAAACTGGAACGGTGAAGGTGACAACAGTCTGTTGGAGCGAGTATCCCCAAAGTTCTACATCGTGGCCGAGGACTTTGATTGTACATTGTTTTTTTTTAAGTCATTCCAAATATCGTGAGATGCATTGTTACAGGAAGCCCCCTTGCCTTCCCAAAAGCCGCCCCACTTCTGAAGAAGGGCCCAATCCTTGCCCGAGTTCACCCAGGGGGAGGGTTGGTAGCATTGCTTCTGTGTAAATTAATCCAAAATTTTTTAAATCTTCGCCTTAATACTTGTTTTATTTTGAATGGTCAGCCATCATGACCACCCCAATTTTTGGTCCCCCAGTTTAAGATGTATGAAGGCTTTTGGTCTCCCTTGGAGTGGGTGGAGGTGCAGAGGCAACCCAGGGCTTACCTGTACACTGACTTGAGACCAGTTTAATAAAGTGCACACCTTAAAGAAGCAATGTCTGCTGGTGTGGCCCTCTTGGATATCCGTTTGGGGTGGGGTGGGTGGGAGGAGGTGGGTGTTAAGCCGTTGTCTACTGCAAATGCAAGGGCTTTGTTGTGCCACTCATCCTGATGAAATGGGAGGGGAGGCTCCATGTAAAAGTGAAGGGTCCTGGTGTAGCTCTTTGATCTGTCCCCCAGGTTGCCACTAGATTGCACCATTTTTTGCCCTTTTACAAAAGGTCCAGATCTTTTGGGAAGTCTGGGCTGTGGGGGCACTGGGTGGCTCAGGTACTTAACTCCTCGTGGACCAGATGGGCACTTAAGCACCACCTGTGAGAGGTGCCTTTGGAACGTTACTTTATGAGCTTGGTGTCTTGGGATGCGGTCCTAGGCCACACTCCACATAAGATGGTCATCCATCCCTGAGGGCCATACCTTCTGGCCTGCAGTCCCTTGGACTGCAGGGCAGTATCCTGGCAGCATCCAGTGCCTGGGGGCAAGGGGTTGTCAGGCTGGCAGAGATGGAGATGGCTCTAGCTGGCCCTGGGGGAGACTTGGCTAAGATCTGGGTTTCCCTTGAGGTGGGAGGGTGTTCTCCTGTGCATTGGAGGTCCTGACGGGGAGGCAGCCAGTCTCCTGTTGAGCAGAGTGCCTGGCTTTGCAGATGACTGGATTTGCAGTTAACTCTTCAGTGGGAAAGCCAAGCCTGGTCTACCTTCCCTTTGCTGGAAGTCACAGTTGACACCAGAATGGAAAGGGAGGAGAGGAAGTGGGTGAGCATGGGACCCCCCCCACCCCATGTCCTTTCTCCCATATCCTGAGGGTGTGAGGCACAGAAACCACTTAAGGTCAGAGGTGTGAAGGGCTCCCTCCCACAAGCAACCTTGGCAGCTGCCTCCTGGCTTGCAGAGGAAGAGGAGCCCCAGCAAGGGTGTGATTTGCCTGGGTCCAGGTCTCCTTAGTGTGACTTGAGTACATGGGGGCTAAGGAGCCTGTTCAAAGGCCTGATGGCTTCTACAAGCACACAGGATCCTGCATTTCCCTGAGTGGGTTTTCCTGATTCAGTACCTGGTGCACTACAGCGGGGTGTGCAGCTATTCCCCAGGAGTGGCCCTGTTCCCGCACACAGGGCTGTCTGGACCAGGGGAAGTGGCAGGACAGAGTACCTGAGATGCTTCTATGACACTCCACCCCCTGCTTCATCCTATTTGGGAGGCCTGGGAGAGCTATCCCTAGGCCAGTTCCAGCTCTTTCAGTCCATCGGGTGGTGGTGAGCCCTGGGCTCTGGGAGCTGCAAGCACATTTCCTTCTTGGGCCACTTCTGCAAAAAGTGCCCCCTGTATGCTGGGCCTGAGGTTGCTGAGGACATGGGCCCTGCCCTGGAGAACCTGTTAGCCTTGAAACAAGGATCCACTTCTCTCCCCCTCCTTCCATCCAACTGCTATTTGTGCCAGGCATTGTGCCAGGTTGGGGTGCAGTAGAGAAGGAACCAGGTATGTTTCCTGCCCTGGTGAGGTGCCTGGCTTAATGGGAACATAATAAGCATGTAGGCAAATGAATACACAGTGGCGGTGATAATGAGAAAGCCGAGGCTGAGTGTGTAGAATCCAGGGTACGGGTAGATGGAGATGGTTGTGATGTCAATTGTGGTAATGGTGTCATGGGTGTAGACATCACAGCTCACCAAACTGCACCTTGATAAAGCTGAAAAAAACCTGAGAAATACAGATTAAGAAACAAGGGGTCATTGTTTTGCCTCTTTTTAACAGAAAATGTAATGAGGGATCATAAACGGGTGTGAGGTGACTGAGAGGGGAGGAGCCAGCAGTCTCGTGTGGGTGGCTTCCCCAGAAGGTTGGTGGGATGATGCCCAAGTTGGCCCAGGTGGCCAAACACACCTGGGCAGGTGGAGGTGTGGGCATGTATGTCTCAGGAACATGGATTGACTGGGGACAGAGGCCTGAAGATGGAGAATGGAACAGAGTTGGGGCCACATGTCTTATCTCTGTGGCCTTGGGAAGTCACATCACTGTCTACATGCTCATCTGAGAAATGAGAGCCTCAGTAACAACCTGGGGGGGTGGCCAAGGCTGGGCCTCAACAGTTTCTTCCCCTAAAGGCTTCAGAAATGCAGCCAAGACACTTGAACTTGAGCATCTTCAGGCCCTGATCCTCCCCTCCCAGGACTGCAGCTGACCATCCCATACCTGGTTTGGAGCAGAGGCCGGGCACTGGGAGCCCCAACCCAGGCTAAACCAGAGCTTGCACAGCTTCCTGTCTTCTGGCAGCACCCATTAGGAAACTGAGCTGGCCCTGGGTCACTGACCTTATGAGCGAGAATGTGGGAAGGTGACCCTAAGGCCTCTGAAAGCTGAGAGTTTGGAGGGTGTACACATCCAGGCTGGCACTCACACACAGAAATTGAAAATCTCAACTCGAGCCTGCTGCCTACTGCACAGCTTGCCTGACCCGGGTGGAAGCTCCCACTTTCTCAGGTGGCTGGCTCCCCCGTGAGGCAGCTCTGACCACCTGACAGTCACCTTTTCAATGAGCTGAAACCGTTCTCACTGCAGTGTCCCTCCTCTGCAAAGCAGCCCTGTCTGGATAAGCTGCACCCTCAGCAGAGCTGGGGAGTCTTGGCAGTGCGGGGGGCAGGTCCTTCCCTTCATCCCAACACCTCCTCTTGCAGCCCTGTAGTGAAGAGTGGGGAGGCTGCTCAAGGTCACCTCTTGCTTGTGGGGAAACAGGCTCAGAGGGGAAGGATGGGATAGGAACACACACTCTGGTCTGCAGTTACCCCAGGGACTTGGCGGCTAGAATCACTGGGGGGCCCCTGCTGGGGGCTGGTGCTTTCACTCACTCTGCCATCATTCAGCTTATAGTCCCAGCAGCCACACATGCCTGGGGACGGGGGTACAGCAGTGATAAGGAGATGCTGTCCTTACCTTCTCAGCTTTTACACTCTGGCTGTACTGTCTCATAGGGAGGCCACATGTGGCTATTTAAATGAATTACCATTAAGAATTCAGCTTCCTAGTTGCACAAGCCTCGTTTCAAGGGCTCAACAGCCATGTGTGGCCCGTGCCTCTCACACTGGATACACAGGGGACATCCCATTGGTGAAAACACCATTGCGCAGCATTGGGCTGTGGCAGGATTCATGCTGATGGCCACTTCATCACCCAGCAATACTCTGAGGGCTGGTGACAAGATAACTGATGGGACTGTGACCTGATTGGCAGGGTGGAAGGGAAGGCTTTCTGCAGAAGGGCTATTGGGAGGAGAGGAAAAATGAGCCAGAGTTGGGGTGAGAGCCACCTGACGGGATAGTACATGCAAAGGCCTTGTGCACAGATGAGCAGGAGGACCCTCGGGAGTGAGGTCAGATATGCATTTTTGTTTGTTTGTTTGTTTTATTTTATTTTGGTATCATTAATGTACAATTACATGAGCAATATTATATTATGGTTATTAGACTCTCCCTATTATCAAGTCCCCACAACATACCCCATTACAGTCACTGTCCATCAGCATAGTTAAGATGCTGTAGAGTCACTAGTCTTCTCTGTGCTATACTGCCTTCCTCGTGCTCCACCCCCTACATCATGTGTGCTGATCATAATGCCCCTTATTCCCCTTCTCCCTCCCTTCCCACCCACCGTCCCCAGTTCCTTTCCCTTTGGCAACTGTTAGTCCATTCTTAGGTTTTGTGAGTCTGCTGCTGTTTTGTTCGTTCAGTTTTTGCTTTGTTCTTATGCTCCACAGATGACTGAAATCATTTGATACTTGTCTTTCTCCACCTGGCTTATTTCACTGAGCATAATAACCTCTAGCTCCATCCATGTTGTTGCAAATGGCAGGTTTGTTTTCTTCTTATGGCTGAATAATATTCCATTGTGTATATGTACCACATCTTCTTTATCCATTCATCTACTGATGGACACTTAGGTTGCTTCCATTTATTGGCTATTGTAAATAGTGCTGTGATAAACATAGGGGTGCATATGTCTTTTTGAAACTGGGTTCCTGCATTGTTAGGGTAAATTCCTAGGAGTGGAATTTCTGGGTCAAACGGTATTTCTATTTTTAGTTTTTTAAGGAACCTCCATAATGCTTTCCACAATGGTTGAACTAATTTACATTCCTACAAGCAGTGTAGGAGGGTTCCCCTTTCTCCACATCCTTGTCAAAATTTGTTGTTGCTTGTCTTTTGGATGCTGGCCATCCTTACTGGTGTGAGGTGATATCTCATTGTGGTTTTAATTTGCATTTCTCTGTGATTAGCGATGTGGAGCATTTTTTCATGTGCCTGTTGGCCATCTAAATTTACTCTTTGGAGAAGTGTCTGTTCAGCTCGTCTGCCCATTTTTTAATTGGCTTATTTGCTTTTTGTTTGTTGAGGTGTGTGATCTCTTTATATAATTTGGATGTTAACCCCTTATCAGATATGTCATTTATGAATATATTCTCCCATACTGTAGGATGTCTTGTTGTTATACTGATGGTGTCCTTTGTTGTACAGAAGCTTTTTAGTTTGATACAGTTCCACTTGTTCATTTTTGCTTTTGTTTCCCTTGCCTGGGAAGATATGTTCATGAAGAAGTCGCTCATGTTTATATCCAAAAGATTTTTGCCTATATTTTTTTCTAAGAGTTTTATGGTTTCATGACCTACATTCAGGTGGTCTTTGATCCAGTGAGTTTACTTTTGTGTATGGGGTTAGACAGTGATCCAGTTTCATTCTCCTACATGTAGCTGTCCAGTTTTGCCAACAGCAGCTGTTGAAGAGGCTGTCATTTCCCCATTGTATATTCGTGGCTCCTTAATCGTATATTAATTGACCATATATGCTTGGGTTTATATCTGGGCTCTCTAGTCTGTTCCATTGGTCTATAGGTCTGTTCTTGTGCCAGTACCAAATTGACTTGATTACCATGGCTTTGTAGTGGAGCTTGAAGTCAGGGAGTGTAATTCCCCCCCACTTTATTCTTCCCTCTCAGGCGGGGACAGAAGATAAACACATCTGCTACAATGAAAACCATACCTGATTATAGATTATAGGGTAAAAAAGGATTGGGTCAGGGAGTCAGGGGACTGGAGGAGAACCCTGACCTCTGTGAAACTCCCCAGATGCTTGCCTGGGTCAGAGCTGGGCTCCACTGTTGATGCCTCATTAGTAAACAAGGGGACCCCCACTAGCACTCATGTTCCTTATGCCGGAAATTGCACATAACTGTCAACTTAACTGTTGTCTTTGATGCACAAACTGCACCTGCCTCCTCAATGATCCATCCACAGTAGGAGCTTATCAGAGACCCAGGAGGGCATTATGCAAAACTTGATGTACTGGGTTGAATAGTGACCCCCAGAGATTCATCTTCACCCCGAACCTCAGAATGTGGCCTTATTTGGAAAAAGGTCTTAGCAGATGTCATTAGTTAAGATGAGATCATATTGGCTTAAAGAGGATCCTAAATCCAACATGACTGGTGTCTTTATTTATTTATTTGTTATTGTTTTCTGAAATCTCCAAATTTAATTGTGGATGTTTGTTTCTCCTAGAGGTTCTATCAACTTTTGCTTTACATACATGCAATTGTTATCAGATACATACACCTTTAGGATTAGGTCCTCTTTCTGAGTTGACCTGTTCCTCACTATGAAGTGAACTCTATCCCTGGTAATATATATACATACATACATATATATGTATATATATTAAGGTATAATTGTTATGCAATCTTATGAAGGTTTCACATGAGCAACATTGTGGTTACAACCTTGACCCATATTATCAAATCCTCCCCCCTGCTCTCCAGATTCTTTTTCTCTCTCTCTCTCTCACACACACACACACATGCACACAGAAGATGAAGACAGAAGCAGAACTTGGAGTGATGCTGCTGTAATCCACAGGACGGCAGTCATTGCTGGCACCCACAAAAAGCTAGACAGAAGCAGAGAGATCCTTCCCTAAGCCTTTGGAAGGTGCATGGCTTGTCAATATATCCATTTTGTCCTTCAAAATGAATAAATTTCTGCTACTTAAGCCACCCAGTTTATGGTACTTTGTTACAGCAGCATTAGACATACATACATGAGTAGGGTCACCCAGGACTTAGCACCAGTATTCAAACCCAATTCTTTGTGATCCAGAGCTTTCTCCAAGGAAACTTTTATTAGTAAATGACTTGATTTTTAGAAGCATAGGCTTACAGGTGGGGCACGTTATCCACACGTTCATTTACCTGGCAAATACTCAGTGCCTACTACATGCCAGAGAGCATTCCAGGTACTAGGAATTCTGTCCTGTGTACAGCTTACAGGGGGAGGACAAAAACTGAAAAAGGAAAAAATAAAAAAACACAGTAGGTCAGATGGTGCAAGAGCTATGGAGAAAAACAACAGAACGGGCAAGTTTAGTTGTGAAGGTCATGCCACTATCTGCAGGGTGATCAGGGACCGGCTCTCTGACAAGTCCGTTTTGCACACTGCCGCACGGGGAGGCAAATGCAAGATTTCGGACAGGTGAGTGCTGGGCAGGCAGGAGGCGGCCAGAGCCGCAGCGCGCCGCAAACAGAGTCGGAGACACGCTAGAAAGCAAGCCACCGCCGCGAGCGAACCGGACCCTGGAGTCGTCGCACCCAACATGGCGGCCGCGGACGGCCGCAGAAAGGCTAGCGGAAGTGCGTAAGGCAAGCGCCGGAAGTGAGCGCGGCCCCGCCCCCTGCCCGGGTCTCTGTAGAGCAGCGGACGCGCCGGCTTTGAGCATCCCTGGCGCAGCAGGCGGGAGGTTTCGGGCCTGCGGCCACGGCGGCCGCGGCTTTGCCTGTCCTCGACATGGCCAGCTCCGGAGAGGTATGGCGGTGCTTCTGCTCGCTGTTCTTCCTGCTCGACGGCCTCGGCCCCATTTGGCCCTTGCTGTACCGACCCCGGTCTTCCTTCGTCCTTTCCATCCCGCCCCGTATCCGCTCCTTCCTTCCCGACTTGGCCTGGCTCTGTGCTTTCCACCCTGATCCCGTTCCCTACCCCTACCCCGTCTGGCCCCTTCCTGTCCCGACCCTGGCCTCAGCTTCGGCCTTCCCATCCAGGCCCTAGCCTTGCCCTATCCTTGTCCCACCCCACCCTCCAGGCCTCACCCTGTTCCCGAAGGGACAAGCTTTCTCCCCTTTAAATTTTCCATCACTTTTCCCAACCCCTCATTTCTGATCGCCAGAGTTCCTCTTCGTCTCTCTCCCCCGTTTCTAGGCCCCTCTGGGCCTGTCAGGCCCTTTTCTCATGCCCCTGAGCTTTGGCTCAGCTCCTGGAGCTCAGGCCTTTCCCTCCTTGCCCGGTTCACACTCCATCCTCTATCTCTGATGACTCAATTCCAGTCCACATTTCTCTGCGCCTGCTTGTTGTGTGACTTGGGGGATGATGGAGGAAAAGCCTTTTCACCTGGGGGTACTTAGGACTTACCCACCACTTCCTTCCTCAGTGCCCCCAGAGCTGGGTCTGAGACTCTGATGTGGTGCAAGGTATTTTATCTGCATACCAGGTTGTGGGGGTTTGGAATTGTGACTGTATTGTCTTCCCTTTTGTTGCCTCCTGCCTACCTCTGTGTGTACTTGTGTGCACCCGTGTGTATATTTACCATCTGGGACTCATACCCTTGAGTATGCGTCCTAAGTTTTGGGATTTACCGGTGCTCTGGAGAACAGGAATAGGAGGTTCAAGTGTTTTCTTCTCAGTGGAGGGGGTGTGGGTATGTGGAAGGTGGCTGGAATTTGCTGACAGGTCCTCTTCCTTTGAAGTGAGTTTGACTCAGAGTGGCCCTTGATTGAGGAGGGTGTGGGGCCCACATGGAGAGACTGGTGGTAGGATTGAAGGGCCAGAAAGCTGCAGCTCCTGGAGGAAGAGTTCTGGGCTAGCCTGGCTGTGCTAGCAGATTCCAGTTAGTCAAGTGTACTTGAGGGAGGAGACAGGGTCAGAGTATGACACCGTGGTCTTAAGGAATCCTGGTGCCAAGACCCCTTTGTTCCTTGAAGCACGTGTGGGTGACTTGGCCGTTGAGGCTTTTGTTGCATTGCAGGGGTCTCTTGGGTTGCGAGGAGAGAGGGGAGCCTGATTCTCCCATGGGTGTGGAGATCGAAGTCCCTTCTGAAACAATGTGAGTTATAGTTCACATACCATACAATTCAGTGTTAAAGTGTAGGATTCAGTGACTTTTAAAAATATGCTCACAGGGTTGTACAGCCACCCACTGTCTGATTCCAAGATGGGCTGGTCTGATTTAGAAAGTCATTTGCTGGCTTTCAGGTGCAGGTGCTGTGTTTCCGAGGAGCAGGGCTCTGCGTTTTTCTTTCTTTCTTTTTTTTTTAGTAGACTACCAAAAAAAGAAACACAAAAAACAAAACTCATATATATGTTATATGTATATTTGTTTTAAAGTTGTTTTCTTTTTTAATTAAGGTATCATTGTATACAATCTTATGAAAGTTTCACATGAACAACATTGCAGTTTCAACATTCACCCATATTATCAAGTCCCCCCCCCATTGCAGTCACTGTCCATCAGCATAGTGAGATGATATAGAGCCATTACTTGTCTTCTCCGTGCTGTACTGCCTTCCCCGTGACCTACCTATATTGTGAATGCTAATTATAGTAGGGCTCTGCATTTTCAGTGGCTCTTCAGATGATTCTGAAGCAGTAGTTGTTGACTCACCTTGATCAGTGCTGCTTTCTCTTGAGAATTAAAAAACTCCTTTTCAGGAGCCACTCCTGGGCTAAAGAGGAGGCAAGCAAGCAGACAAACCCTTGTCTCTCATCTGGTGAGGCTGGAGTCTGGTGGGGAGGAGGATATCTGGGGAGGAGGAGCAGGAGGGTTAGTTAAGTGTGTCTGGGGCTTGCTGGGAGGGCTTCACTGCACTTGAGCTCATCTTCCAGTAGCAGTTTGCCCTGCACTGTGGCGTGTCTCAGGGAGGGAACAGCTTGTGCAAAGACTTGGAGGTATGAGTACTGTGTGTCAGGGGACACTCGAGAAGATGCCAGCTGGAGAAGCAAAGACCTAAAAAGAGTATAAACCTTAAAATTGTGCATCCCTTTGTTGTCAGGCAGCTGCATCAGGGGAGGTCTCTCCCTGTGTGCTTGGTGATACCTTAACCTGGACATGGGAAAATTCTTGACTCTGATCAAGAAAGAATTCTTGACCAGGGTGGACGAGTGTATAGATAAGGAAGCAAGGAAAAACAGGAAGAAAGGGAATTCATCGAACTCCTGCTCAGTGTAGGGCAGATCTCTTGCCGACTCCTGGAGCCAGGGTCACCTGGTATCCAGTGTCCGCTTGCATCTGCACAGCATGGGAATTAAGCCCCTATGACCCCAGGATTTGGGGGAGCTGTGGAGCACTGGGTGGAGTGAGTTTATGTTCCGAGAACTTACACTTCCCTCCTGGTCTGAAATAAACAGAGAGAGGAAAGGATTGTGTCAAGAATGGAAAGCTGAATGAAGTAGCAAAATGACAGACATTTACCACCAGAGGGGGAAGTTGAGAGTTGTGTCTTTATCACGAAAAGCGTTCAGAGATAAGTGCAATGGGCTCATGTAGGCTTATGCCACAAGAAAGTTTATTTGATGTAAGACAGTACACACTCAAGAGAGGAGTGCAGACAACCTCAGGAGTTTTTAAGGGTTTGGGGTTTCATAGGGCCTTTTGGGTAGGGGTCAGCATAACACATGATGTATACAGGTGATTCATAATTACTCTGAAGTTTTGTTTTAAGAATAGGATTATTTAGGTGACTGAGAATCCAGATCTCATCTACATATCCAATCTACATAGGTTTGATTTAGCCATTGGAGGGTTCTCTCTCATCCTGGTTACAAAGTTACTTAGTTGATTAAGGGGCTGGAAGAAGAGAAAGAGCAACATATAGATTAAGTTAAAGAAGAAGCTGGGTCTTTTTCACAGGCTAGATTTTACAACTGCATGACCCTTGTCTCATTTCCCTGCTCTGTTTCACCTTCAGAATGTCCCTGTGATTCAAAATGATTTTTATAATGTAAAATTCCACACATTTGCAGAAGAGTGGCGTGATGAACCTCTCTTGTGTACACATTGTCCAGTTCTACTAGTTGTTAACACATGACCAGTCTTGTTTCATCTCTGTCTCTACCAGCTGCTCCTCCTCCCCCCTGGGTTATTTAGAGTGTATTCCGGACATCTCATGATCAGTTCGTTTGTGAATCCTGTGATTTCTTTGGGACCCTGACTGGTAAACAGTCAGATGGTAAACATCAGAAGGGGATGTTTTTTGGGCAGGTACTGACTGTTTCAGTACTTTTAAAAGTTACGAAATGTTACGTGCTGAAAAGTATGTAAAATTCTTTTAACGCCTACTCTTCAAACCACTTTTAAGTTGTCATTATCTGGTTCTAGCCTGATGGTTCCCAGATGTGCCTGATAAAATCACCTGGCCTCTCCTCAACCTCTGAGTTGGAATTTCTAGAGTCTCCAGGAAGTGTCCCGCGGGACCTCCCCAGAAGCTCCAGAAGCCCCTTCGCCCATTTCTTTTGTGGTGGAGGGCAGGCCAGTTTCCCACTCGGCTAATCAGGCCCTTCCTTAGGTGTCCCTTGCCCAATGACCTCAGGCTACTTACCTAGTGTTTTTAAGATGGAGAATGACTCTGCTTCAGTTTCCCCAATGGCTGAGAACACAGTGTCCTGAGAAGCAGAGGGGACAAGTACAAGTGTATTTGGGTGCATGTGGAGGTGGGCATTCTCTGGGCCACATTTTATTTCACAAATGAAGAAACTTGGGCCATCCACCCTGCTGCTGCCTCTCCAGTTTGTACTTCTCCCTAGGAAAGGCGTGCAGACCTACAAACCACTGGACCCTTGACTCAGGAAGCTTCTGTTCCAGGGAAAGACTTCACCCCAGCAGCTACCTTCCTGGACTGGCTGTTGGGAGACCAGGGCGAACAAGTGCCTGTCCCAGCTGGTGGGGTGCTGGGCTCAGAACAGCAGTCGGAGCACAGTGAGTGGACATCCTGTGGGATGTGCCCAGACTGGATGAAGCTGTGGCTCAATTCCTGGTTTTAAGAGAGATTCATGTTAGTAGTGGAACTGTGGAAATTGTATGATGCTGGAGGTATTTTTAGTGTTTTGCTTTGTGTTCTCACCGCCTATGGAGACATTCCTGCTTTGATAAACTGCAGAGTGGGGATCAGGAGGGGTAAACCTAAGCCTGCTCAGCTGGATTCAAGCCCAGCCCTTCCCTCTTGTCCCCAGGCCCTCTGTGCCAGAGCCCTGTTGGCTACGCTTACCTGATAAGGACTGTCCCTGGAGATGAGTCCCTAAGCGTAGGGTGGGGTCTGGGAATCTGATTTTTTAACAGATGCCCGGGTGATCCTCATGATTACCTCTGGAAAAACTGACCTAAAGGAACGCCACAGAATGCAGTGGCCCTGGGGTATTGTGGACCTTGGGCCTGAGGGCACTTGAAATGGAAGGAGGGGGAAGGCAGTCAGGCTGCTGCTTCTTAAGAAGGGAAAGTGGGGAGGGCTGAGGCTGTGGAACAGGTGGTCAGTATTTGTGGAAACCCTTTCCTGGGCGTGGCAGGAGGCAAGGTAGTGGGGGTCGCAGTCAGAGTTCCTGGGAAACCCCTGGTGCCTGCGTGGGGTGTGCCCACAGGCTCAACCCTCCCCAGACTTCACTGTGGCCGTGGCAGCAGCATGGCTTTCCAAGCCTTACAGTTTCTGTGCACGCAGATATGTACTGAAGAGGAGACAGGCTGGGGGTCGAGGGGCTTCAGACAGATCCAAAGAGGCAGTAGACATAACTGGGCATGCTATCTTGGGACTGGGCAGAGATCCCCCCAGTGAGCACATCCTACAGCCAGGGAATCCCTCTGGGGATGAGGCAGGATTCCTCCCCCTCAGGGACTCCTCTTAGAGCCTCTGACTTCCTTTGTCCTTGACTTGGGGTTTCATGGCACACAGACATAAGTGAAGCCACCTTCTCTCCTGGCTGTCCACATCAAAAAGCCATTGACCAGTGGGATGGGAGGCACACGTGAGGGAAGCAAACCTTTTGCAGAAATCCACAAAAGCAGCATGGGATTTGTGGACATCTTACTGGAAATACCAACACACATTTCTAACCAGAAAATAAGATAAATGGAGATAAATTGTGCAATCCTTATCATTTATTACTAAAGATTTTAAAATGTTAGTCTGGTAGGTGCAGCTTCCTGTTTATTGGGGCGTTAAGTTTTGTCTCAGTGGCGGCTCCGCACGTCTTCCTGGCCCTTAATGACAGAGCGCTGTCAGCCATGGGGACGTAACACACAGGAGCTTGTTTACCTGTCCCTGTGCCCTGGGAGGCGGAGGCACTGCTCTTATCCCCAGTTCTTGCTGTTTCCTGATAGAAGTCTCCTACCCAGAGGTTTGAAGAACATACCTTGATACTGGGACAGTGGGGGGACAGTAGCTTTCACAAAGGGAGAACCTTGGCCAGTGGTTGTAAGTTGAATCTGAAACATGACAGACTTGACCAGACACCATAGATTTTGAGAAAATCTGTTACTTTTGGAGAGAGATGCTGGTGTGCAGATCTGAAAGGGGGTTTTGAAGAATGTCATGGGTTCTTGCTCTGTAGTTAATACTTGTTTTTGGTAAGAGCACCTTCTTTCCCATGGACCGTTCTGAGGGCTTTTTTCCCTGGCTGGGGAGGCCGGGATGAGGGTTGCCTTTGGAGGGGGGGCGGGTCCCAGGGGTCCCATGGGAATTCACGTCTCCCTTATTTCAGGACACGTTCAGTGATGGTGATGCACCCCCTGCATTGGCCACAATGGCGAGTGGTGCCCACTTGCTGGGCTTCTCAGACGAGATCCTCCTGCACATCCTGAGCCACGTGCCCAGCACAGACCTGGTTCTCAGTGTGCGGCGCACCTGCCGGAAGCTTGCAGCACTCTGCCTGGACAAGAGCCTCACCCACACAGTACTGCTGCAGAAGGACTATGAGGTGAGGCGACGTGGAGCACTGGCACTCGTGTGTGAGGGCATGTGGGTTTCAGGCGTCAGCTCTTCTGACAGGTGATTGCCTTGTGGTCTGGGCTCGTGTTTCCCAAGGAAGGGTGCTGTTGACGATCTGTCCATTGAGTGCATGGGCCACCTGTGTATCTCTGCAGAAGTGGCTGTGCAAGGCTTTGCCTGTTCATTTCTGATCTTACCGAGTTATGAGAATTCTTCATAGATTCTAGATACAAGTCTTTTGTCAGATACACGTATCATGGATATTTTCTCTTGTAGTCTGTGGCTTGCTGTTTTGCTTTTTTTTTTTTTGAGAGGGCCTCTCTCATATTTATTGATCATATGGTTGTTAACAACAATAAAATTCTGTATAGGGGACTCAATGCACAATCATTAATCAACCCCAAGCCTAATTCTCAACAGTCTCCAATCTTCTGAAGCATAATGAACAAGTTTTTACATGGTGAACAAGTTCCTACGTAGTGAATAAGTTCTTACATGGTGAACAGTGCAAGGGCAGTCATATCACAGAAACTTTCAGTTTTGATCACGCATCATGAACTATAAACAATCAGGTCAATTATGATTATTCGTTTGATTTTTATACTTGATTTATATGTGAATCCCACATTTCTCCCTTGTTTTGCTTTTTTAACAGTATCTTTTGAAGAGTGTAAGTTCTAATATATTGAATTTTTGAGTTCATTCTTTTTGTGTCCTATTGAAGAAACCTTTGTGAAACCTGAGGTCATGAAGATTTTCTGCTATGTTGTCCTATAGATGTTCTATGCTTTGGGCTCTTACGGTTAAGTCCATGATCCATGATCCCTGCTGTGCCCATCTTCATGTGTGGTGTGAGGTGAGGGTTCAGGCTCATTTTTTTACATATGGCTATTCAGTTGTTCCTGTACTGCTTATTGAAAAGGTTATCTTTTCCTCATTGAATTGCCTTGCATTCTTTGTTGAAAATCAGCTGGCAACATATCTTAAAGATAAAAGTGAACAGAGGCCTGACCTTAACCCAAATTTCAGGAGACTGTGGAAGGGACTCACAGCTGTTGTTACCGGTTGTGAAGCAGTGCTGTTGAAGCCTAGAACCAGGCCCCTCAGAGCTTTGGTGCTTTCCAGAAGGCCATGCTGTGCTTTTCCCCAAGCCACCAAGGTTCTTTTCCTGGAGGAAGGGGCATATGCCCTTGTGCAGAGCTGCAGCACAGGGTATTTGGAGCATTTAAAACATGTCTTTCAGCCCCTTGGACATTTACCTCAGAGAAGTGGGTGGGGCCACGGGCCTGAGGGATGCAGGCTCTCCAGGCCATGTTGCTTCTGAAGGCCTCACTGGCAACAGCGAGGACAGCTCTTGGTGCTGGGCTGCTGGGCTTGCTGTCGGCGTGATGTGGCTTGCCTGAGCAGTCCGGGCCAGGCTTTGGAGGGGTATTGAACGCTGTGAAAGTGCACATGATGTAAAAGAACACAAAGCAAGCTTCCAAGGCACGACTTCACTGTGTGACTTAAAAAACCCCACTAAACATAAAATTTACCACCTTCACCATATTTCAGCACACAGTTCTACCCCTGAAGCATTAAGTACATTCATAGTGTTGTGTAACCATTGCCACTATTTCCAGAAGGTTTTCATCTCCCTGAACAGAAACTCTGGACCCGTTAAGCAATAACTCCACATTCTCTTTACCCCCAACCTGTGGTAACCTGTGTTCCACTTTCTGATTGTGAATACGCCTGTTCTGGATGTTTCACAGACATGGACTCTTACAGTATGTGATCTCCTGTGATATGATGTCCTCAGGTCCGTCCATGTGGTAACTCCTTGTGTCAGAACTCCTTTCTGTGGCCAAATAGCATTCCACTGGACGTGCACACCATACCTTGTTTATCCATTCATCAGCCAGTGGGCATTTGGACTGTCCTGTCTTTTGGCAATTGGGAATAACGCTGCGATGAGCATGGGTGTGCAGGTGTTTGTGTGCGTCCCTGTTTTCCATTCCCCACACATACTAGGAGTGACATTGCTGGGTCACATGGTAATTCTGTTAGCTTTCCGAGGAGACACTGAACTTTTCCCCAGTGGCATGTGCACTATTGTGCATCCACCCTTTGCTGGGGACTCCTGACTGTTGGCGTAAGGTAAGTGTGTGGGGAGGGGATGGGGCTCTTCCCAGGAACACCCCTCCTCACCTGGAGTGGGGAGCCCCTGTAGGGCCCCTTGGCTCCCTGATTGTCATGAGGGGTGGCAACCTGAGAGGTGAAGGAGACCCTCGGGGCCATCACCCCTCTCCCTGTCTCCCCACCCTTCTGCCCTGCAGGTGAACGAGGACAAGGTAAAGCAGCTTGTGAAGGACATCGGCCGGGAGATCCAGCAGCTCAACCTGGCCGGCTGCTATTGGCTGCCGGGCTCCACCATCGAGCACGTGGCCCGCTGCCGCAGCCTGGTGAAGGTGAACCTCTCGGGCTGCCACCTGACCTCCCTGCGCCTCTCCAAGATGCTGTCAGCCCTGCAGCGCCTGCGCTCCCTGGCCATCGACGTGAGCCCAGGCTTCGATGCCGGCCAGCTGAGCGGTGAGTGCAAGGCCACGTTAAGCCGCGTGCGGGAGCTCAAGCAGACGCTGTACACGCCCTCCTATGGCGTGGTGCCCTGCTGCACGAGCCTTGAGAAGCTGTTGCTCTACTTTGAGATCCTGGACCGCACTCGTGAGGGTGCCATCCTCTCAGGCCAGCTCATGGTGGGCCAGAGCAATGTGCCTCACTACCAGAACCTGCGGGTCTTCTATGCCCGCCTGGCCCCTGGCTACATCAACCAGGAGGTGGTGCGGCTCTACCTGGCTGTGCTCAGTGACCGCACGCCCGAGAACCTGCATGCCTTCCTCATCTCTGTGCCTGGCAGCTTTGCTGAGAGCGGGGCCACCAAGAACCTTCTGGACTCCATGGCCCGCAATGTTAAGCTGGACGCCTTGCAGCTGCCCAAGGCCTGGCTCAATGGCTCATCCCTCCTCCAGCATATGAAGTTCAACAATCCCTTTTACTTCAGCTTCAGCCGCTGCACCCTGTCCGGCAGCCATCTGATCCAGCGGGTCATCAATGGCGGGAAGGACCTCCGGAGCCTGGCCAGCTTGAACCTTAGTGGCTGCATCCACTGCCTGTCCCCGGATGCCCTGCTCCGCAAGGCGGAGGACGATATTGACAGCAGCATCCTGGAGGCGCTGGTGGCATCCTGCTGTAACTTGCAGCACCTCAACCTCTCAGCCGCCCACCATCACAGCTCCGAGGGCCCGGGTAGGCACCTGTGCCAGCTGCTGGCCCGGCTGCGCCACCTACGCTCCCTGTCCCTGCCCGTCTGCTCTGTTGCCGACTCTGCGCCACGGGCTGACCGTGCTCCCGCACAGCCTGCCATGCACGCTGTACCCCGCGGCTTTGGCAAGAAGGTCCGTGTCGGCGTGCAGTTGTGTCCCAGCCCCTTCTCCGGGCATGCGGGCCCTCAGCCCTCCTCCGTGTTCTGGTCTCTGCTGAAGAATGTGCCCTTTCTGGAACGCCTTGAGCTGATTGGGTCCAGCTTCTCCTCTGCCATGCCGCGCAATGAACCTGCCATCCGCAACTCCCTTCCGCCCTGCAGCCGGGCACAGAGCGTTGGGGACTCAGAGGTGGCCGCTATCGGCCAGCTGGCATTCCTGAGACACCTGACATTGGCCCAGCTGCCCAGTATCCTCACGGGCTCCGGGCTGGTCAGCATCGGCCTGCAGTGCCAGCAGCTCCAGTCTCTTTCTCTGGCCAACCTGGGCATGATGGGGAAGGTGGTTTACATGTCTGCCCTCTCAGACATGTTGAAGCATTGCAAGCAGCTGAAGGACCTCAGGTAAGGGGTCCCTGGCTGCTCCTCATGGCCTCTGCTGGTCCTTCAGAGGCCTTAGGGGTGGCAGAGGGGAAGTGAGTAGCACCACCTTTCATTCAGCAAGCATCTAAGTACGTGCTATGTGCCTGCCAAGGCAAACTAGATGCAGGCTTTTCCTCCCGGAGCTGAGTCTTGTGGGGTGGGGGCTGACTGTGCAGTGGCAGGACCCAGGGAGGCACGGGACTTGGGCAGGCAGCGGTTGGCAGAACCCAGGGAGGGCGTGCAGGGGGCACCAATGCCTGAATCAGTGCGTGGTCCTCATCACTGTGGCTGGCAGGGTGATTGCGCTGGAGGATGCTGCTGTGTTCAGTCTTGTTCAATCCTGTGGCCACCTCATGAGGGGGCTGTTACTGTTTCCATGTAGCAGAGCTGCTAAGTTGGGAGCCAGGAGTTGAACTTGGGGCTTTTTGCCTAACTGGCAGAAGCCCCAGAAGCTTACAGGTATGCTGTGTGCTCCAAACTAAGTATTCTCAGGCACCTGTCCAGTGGCTTGGGGTGTCTCCGGGAGGTGGGCGGTGGCCCTGGGGTGAAGGTGCTGGGGACCTTAGCCAGCAGAGGGGGCTCTGATTTCCAGTTCCAGAAGGTCCCCCTGGCATCCCACCTGGACTAGAGGGGCAAGGGTGGAGGAGATGGGGAGATGGGCTCAGAAGGGGGACCACACTGTTGACAGGTGACAGTGACCTGCAGCAGAATGGCAAGGCTGATTCAACATAGTGAGAGGAGGTAGAACCCATGAGTCTCAGAGAACCCCACCCAGACTGTTGGTGGGCAACTGGTAGTTTCCAGAGCCCAGACATGAAATGGATTCCCACTGAATCATGCTGTGGAGTGAAGGGTGTTCTTGTGAGGGCCCAGCATTTAAAGACTTAAAGACTAAGTCTTTGTTAACAGGAAATGTATTGAAAATCTTGATGGATCTGATCTTGAAAAATTGCACTATTTTGGGGGGCACGGGGAAGGCATTATAACACAGAGAAGACAAATACTGATTCTGTAGCACCTTACTACACTGATGGACAGTGATTGAATGGGGTATGTGGTGGGGACTTGATAATGGGGGGAATCTAGTAACCACAATGTTGCTCATGTACTTATATATTAATAATACCAAAAAAAAAATTGCACTGTTTCCCAGCAATTGCCCAAAATGTAGTGCTGGCTCTGTGAGGAGGGGCGGAGGTAGCTGCAGTGCTTAGCTCAGCTGGTCTCTCTGTGAGGCTGTGGCTTGTGGGGGACATCGGGCACTGGGACAGCTATGTGTGTCATTGTCCCCATGACAGTAAGCGCTCACTTTGTGCCTTTGCTGAAGGCCAAGTGCCAGGCTATGGGCTCTCAGGACCTGTCTGGTTTAAGCCCCGTGACAGACCCTGAGGGGGCCTTCTTTGGTCCCATGGCACAGACAGGGCGGCAGAAGCCTGAGGGGGGAGTTGAGTTCACCCAGTTCAGTCTTACTCCAGAGCTTGACCCTGGCCCTCGAGGCACTCAAAATGGAGATAAGTGTGTCCTCTGCAGACCTCCACTCTCCCCCTCAGAAGCTGTCATGTGACAAAAGTGAACCAGATTTGAGTGTTTGCTGCTTACACCCTGGAGCCTGCCAGGCTGTGCATCCCCTCTGCACCATCTCCAAGCACAGTACACACCTGGGCTTCCTGAGCCCCTCAGATCTGGGGTGAGGGGCCCGGGATCCCACCGGCCTTCCAAATGGCAGAGCAGGTCACAGAGCCTCCGTGCTGCCTCCATGTGCCCTGGATCTGCAGCTTTGGTTCTAGCCTGAGCATCTGCAGAGCCCCCCATTTGGGGAGAGGGTTGTTTTATGCCGTGTCCTGTGCATCCCAGTCACACTTGTTGTGAGAACCATGGTGCCAGGTATTCTGAAGCCCCCAGTTGAGAAATCTGAGTCAGAGTTGACTTTAAACAAATTGTGAGCTTGGTTTGTTAAACCCTGTAGCCACAAGCGGATCATGCCTGCTAGGGCTATGGGTATGGCCTCCCCCATGGCTTTCAGAGCCTGCGAGGAGATGACACAAGATGTCACGAGGCATTAAGGATGCGTGGCCCATGGAGTGGCCACTGCCATTCCCATCCAGGGCCCCTTGGGGCCCTCTGTCCCACTCTAGGTGCACGGTGCCCAGATAGCTGGTCTACTCCCAGCCACTGGCTTCTTGGAGCCTAGCAGGGTAGAGGACCTCATGCTCACTCTTCACTTCCCGATTCCAGCCACAGTCCCTCTCCCCATACACCTCAGCCTCATGGCCCACGTTGAATCCTCCGTGTTAATTTATCAGGCTTGTGCCCTTCCCCTGCCGGGTTGCGTTGGGGGAGGACCAGGGTTCTGACAGCAGCAGTCGGCCCCCTTTACCTGGGCCTCCTGCTTTGCAGCCTTTCTGTCTCACATTGGGCGTGGGTACCTGCCTTCTCGTTTGCGTGTCTGCAGCCGCCAGGAGTCACCTTTATTGTCACCCACTGGTCTGTCTCTGTCCAGTGCCGCCTCCTGCTTTGTCTCTCCTGTGTCGTCACTATCAGATCACTGGCCTTGAAGCAGTTGTGGTGAGTGTGTGATCACGGGCCACGTGTAGCTTGAAGCTGCAGCTGGATTGCAAAGTACATTTGACAAATAAATGCCCTGGTCCACTGTTCTGTCACCCTTTTGGAGTCTTGTCATCATGAACTGAATATTCCTGAACTTGGGGAGCCTGAGAAATCAAATGCAAATTAGTTCTGGTTTAACTAAACTCAGAGCCAAGGTATTTCTGGATCTGTCATTTTTGCTGTCAGGTTTTTTCTTTCTTGATACCCCTTAAACCTTCCACTTTTCCAGCTGAACTCTGGTCGATCCATTTAGTCATCATCAGGGAGTGTTTGGCAAAAGCAGAAATCGATGAGAGTAAGATAAAGCCACATAGCCACGGGGTTAAAGAGTAGGGGCACTCAAAGGCAGATAAGGAAAACTGGCCATCTCTCCCGATGCTGGCCTCTCTTCCAGAGCATTCATTTCGTGTCTGCTGCCTGCAGTTGCATGGAGATGGCAGGTGCACCCAGCTTGTTTGGGCTGCTGGTCATGTCACAGCAGGCCTCCACTGTCCCTTAACTGTCCCAGTAGAAGTGGTCAGAAGGAGGAGGAAGAATCAGCAAAGGAGGCCAAGCAGGAGCCGTCAGGGAGGATGAGGCTGGTGGGGGATGGGAGACGTTCCAGAAACGAAGGAAGAGATGGCAGCTGCTGGTGTGGGTTAGGTTGACTCGCTGGTGACACTGCTAACAGGTACCAGCCCCTTGGACATTTTCAGCACATAGATAACTATTGTCCTATTTTGCAGGTAAGGAAAGTGAGGCCCAGGGGTTAATGAGCTTGTCGCAGTGACAGAGCTGTTCTCAGGCAGCTGGGACACTTCCTGCTTCGTGGGGCTGTTGGACATCGAACAGGGTGATGTAGTGTTTTGTGCCCCCGAGTGTCTTCCAGGGCCTGGAATGTGATCCTGTGACTGAGATCTTCCCCAGGACCAGAACCATACATACTGCCTATGCCCTGTGGCTGGGAGGCCTGCAGCACTGGAGATACGTGGGTTTTGCAGGCTGGCCTGAGAACCATTTGTAAAGCCTCTGTGCACACTGGCTGCTGAGAACCATGTCTGATTAGAGCTAGGTACTGCCTGTTCAGAACAAACACGAGTTTCTAGAACCCCGCCAAATAGCCCTGTTCTCTGGATTCCTGCCTTCTGTGGCAAGCTGAGCCTGGGGAGCTGGAGAGAAGGAAGCAGGTGGTGCCCGCCCACCTGCCATGGGTGTAAGCCACAGAAAGGAATTGTGTTCCATGCTTAGGAGAGGCTGGCACACTGCTCCTGGGGCTGTCTCCCTGGGTAGCTCCTGCACTTGCCAGTGGAATATTCCAGAGATGGCAGCCCTTGGAATCCCAGGCTGGCTGGCCTCACCAGCAAGGCCATGAATTTGAGCTCTGTGCCAGCTGGGGCTCCTGGCTGGATGCTGTGTCCATGCAGCCAGCGCCACTCCTGCAGGGTGGTAGTGCAGAACGTGATGTTCTGCTGGGGCCTCGTGGCTTTGGATCTGTGGCACACCTTGGCAGTGAGAGGATTACAGTTTGGACAGGGAAAGGCACCTTCTTTCCCAAGGCTGATGAAGGTCTGTCCTGTGGAGGAGGGAGGGGAGTTAACGTTCCCAAGTCAGTCAGCTAGCTGCCTGTGACCCCAGAACCAGGATATGTCTGGGTGGAAGTGAGTGGGCCCACTGGGAGTCAGGCCCGCCCTGGAGGCCTGGGCAGTGCTTGGGGCCTGACGGGTGGGCAGAGGAGAGAGGGTACCTCCCCCACCAGTGCCTTCCTGTGTCCACAGAGCTGGGAGGAGACCAAGCTGCCTCTCCAGGAGCAGGGTTTGTAGGCCAGAGGTTTACTGGCTGGGAGGTTGAGGCCTGGCTGGGAGGGAGAGGGACTTCAGACCCCCAAGGCAAAGCCCTGGCGGCAGGTCTCTTTTCTTCCCTCCCTGCCCTAACGGCAGCCACCTGTGCCGGGGTGTGGCCTGGGGGAGGTTTGGGTGCTCCAGCCGTCTGCTCAGGCAGCCGGTGATGGGAACAGGACAGTCCCTCCAGGCCTGCCCCCGTGAACACCTTTGTCAGGTGGCTTCCTTCAGAGTGGGAGAATCTGGGAGTGGCTGGCTAGTGTTTAAAAGTGTGTATGTGCAGAACACATGCTCACTCGGCCTACTCGTTCTGCAGCGAGGAGGTTCCTCGCAGAAAGCGCGGGCCCGCATCGCCACCTAGTGACCGAGGCTGCGTCTGCCGCTCGCCTGAATTTCCTGTCGCAGCTGCCTCACCGCTCAGCAGTCATGGTTCTGGACTTCTTGATCCTCTCATTTACCTGTAGGACTTTCTCTATATAATTTATTTTTAAAAGATAGAACCAAATAGTGTGTTCAAATATTTTCTTGAGAAAAATCAACTTTTCGAGAAGTTTACATCCATAATAAGGACGACACTTGCTCTCTGGCCCTGTGTGATGCAGGTCTCCCCCTGTCCTTGGCTGAGGCGAATTAGGGTCCCACTCAGGCACCTTTGGTCTCTGAGAGGTGCGCTCTGCTCATGGCTCTGATCTCATTCTTTAGGGTCGAAGTCCACTCGGTGGGGCTAGAGGGTCAGGCTCTGCAGTGGGGTATCCCCTCGCATCTCCTCTCTCAGAGCTGTGGCTGCCTCCTGCCCCACTGGGATAGTTGGTAGGGGGGTGAGTGTGAGGCTTTTTGGAATTATACCCCAGAAGGACTGCATTCTCCCCACAATCTCAGTGTCAGGAGCTTATTAGAATTTCTACTTATATTTAATTAGAGTGAAACTAAAACCCACTCTTCATTAGCTACCTTTCAGTGAGTGGGGGCTCCCTTACAGAAAGGTCAGGATAGGCCATCCCAGTGCTGCAGGACATGCTGTTGGTCACCTGCTCTAGATAGCTGGCAGCTGCCTTTTTCTTAAAAGACCCCATTCTCTGTTCTGTGTTTTGTCCTCAGCGTCAGGATGGTAGAGACGAAACTCAGGACTCCTGTGGGTCTTACTTGGCCTTGAGGACTGGGGGCCGCCTGTGACTGCCCCTTCCTCATGTCCTGGGTGGGTCAGCCCCTGGGGGGTCTCTGCATTCAGAGTACTTGGTTCTCCCTCCACCTGAGGACTCGGGGCTTGGATGGGGACAGTGTGTCCCCAGTGCAGGCCCACTGCCTTGTGGGTGTATGTGTGTGAGCATTTCTTGTTCCTTCTGGAAACTTCTCTCCTTTTATGATGAGAGCCCACAGCTACAGAACACCTCAGGTGTGGCCGCCTCTGTTTACAGTGAGAAACCAGCCTCAGGGCAGCCCTGAGGGTCTCACACAGAGGTGGAGGTCTTGCCAGCCTACCCACCCAGGGGGTTCTGTCTGCCCCGTGGGCAGGGCCTGGCGCCCTGCCCAGGCCTGGCGCCTGTTCCCGCAAGAGGGATTTTCATAGTGCTTATGCCTTGGGGAAGAGTTGCCTGGTGGATTTGCTTGGCTGGACTTGGGGGGACTTGGAACCCCACACACGGTGGGGTCTTTGTAGTGGAGCGCTGTCTTGGGCCTGCCTTCTGGGGAGGACTGAGTCCCCACCATTACTTGCATGAAGTCTGCCAGGGGCCTTGGTGGCTCCTTGACAACCTTGCCTGATGCCTGGCAGCCACCCTTGTGAAGTCCTCACTTTTAGTCCATTTCAGACATAGGTGACCAGGAGTGGGTGAAGCGCATTAGCAGAGGGGAAGGACCTTCCTCACAATTCGTCCCCCTCCATGTGCTTCTTGCCCTCCCAGCTTCCAGGGGTGGTGGGTTTGGTTGCCTGTGATTTGGGCCCAGCTTCCATGGGCAGCTGGGGCCCCCGCATCGGGTGGCCTGTGCCCCCGAGCTGCGATTTCCCTCAGCTGGGCCCCAGTCCCTGACAGCCACGGCCCCTCCTCCCCAGGGCTGCCATTGTGCTCTGGGCAGACGCCTCACAGGCCTGTCCCACCATGTGCCAGCCTGAAGCTGCTCTGGCCAGGTGACTGGTGACCCTCTCAGAAGTCAGAGCAAGCTTTTTGAAAGGGCAAGTGAGACGCATACATGTCTGAGAAGGACGGAAGTCCTGCCCAGGGCTGTGGAGCAAGGAGGTGTCTCCACGCCTTGCTCTGCTCTCCAGGGGTGATGATCCTGAACAGCTTCTCTTGTGTTTTCTGGGGAGAACTGCACAGACAGGTACACGTTGTGTAACTTAAGAGCGGAGAGGTGTCCATGCTGTTCGCTCTCGGCTCCTGTGTCTGTCCTGGAGCTGCTCTGATGAGTGGCCACAACTGCATGGCTTACGAAAAAAGAAATGTACTCTCTCAGCTTTGGAGGCCGGCAGGCCACATCAAGGGGTCGGTGGGCTGGGTCCCTCTGGAGCCTTGCCCCCACTGCTGGCGGTTGCTGGCATTCCTTGGCTGTGGACGCGGCACTCCAGCCTCGGCCTCCACTGTTTTGTGGTGATCTCCCTGTGTGTCCCTGCGCTGCTGTGCCTCTGCATGGCCTTCCTATGAGGAACTGGTCCTTGGGTCAGACCCCACCGTGATCCAGGGTAATCTCACAGCGACTCAGTTGTACCTTCAAAGACCCTGTTTCCCATTACGGCACATTCACAGGGGGGTTAGGACCACCACATTTCTTCTGAGGGACACAGTTCATTTCCCCTCCCCATCCTCCTGGGCTCTGCCCTCCTCCAGCCGTGGGTGCCCCTGGCAGCCCCTGGCATGCTGTTAGCTTGCCCCTGCCCCTCTGCTCTTCCCTGCTGCTCATTCCCAAGGGCTTTTGAGGCCTGTGGCCAAGTGTCCTGCCATGAATCCAGGCATCTTCTTGTTCCACAACCAAGTTTCCAGGAGGAAACTGAACTGTCCTTTCAGCTTCCCTTGGCATGCCCCATGTGTCGTCTACTTCACCGTGTCCTTGAAACTGCCCTGTCCTCTCTGCTGTCTATCTGGGAGTATAGATGCCCAAAGGAAGGGTTGGAATGTTGTCCTCTGCTTGGCTTTCTTGGGTCTCTTTGTCCCTGTGGCTGGAGCCTTGTGCAGTCTCAGGGCACCTCCTTCGTGCTGTGCCAAGACCCCTCCGTGGTGGCCTGGGTCCAGTTTTCTAAAATTGAACTGTTCTGGGGGGGAACCCTTGAGTCTTTGTTGTCTGCAGCTGAAGTCTTAGCTTCTTAGCTTGGCCCTTCACCCTCAGCTACCACTCTGGCCTTGAATCTACCCCCTTCCAGGTGTAGCTGAAGGGCCTCACCTGGCTCAGGCATCTCCTCCACCCCACCCCAGCCTCTCCCCCACCCCACCCCAGCCTCTCCCAACCTGTCCCGCAGTGGTTGTTCCTTTGTCTAGGTGAGCAGTACTGTGAGTGTCTGTCCCTTGGCAGACTGGCCCCCTGAGGGCAGGGGCCACGTGTAAGTGGTGTCTGCATCCCTCTGCCCAGCATTCCAGCTTCTGAAGGGAGAGGAGTGCCCAGCAGTTGGGCCCCTAGCAACGGCTGGACTGGCTGTACACAGTGGCTGGCTGGTAGCGTCAGCCTGCTGGCAGGTCTGCCCCCAAACCAAGATCTCTGAGGGAGACCCCCTTGGGTCCGAGTCCTCACCAGGTGCTCCAGGGGACTGTGGTGTAGACGGGTGTAGGTTGACTGGTGTTGGCCGTCTTCAGCTCTCAGATGTGCTTGGGGCTCTACCCGGGACACACAGCCTGCTCAGGCCGGCTCTGCCCGACAGTCTCACGCTGTCCTCTCCCCACAGGCTCGAGCAGCCCTACTTCAGCGCCAACACGCAGTTCTTCCAGGCGCTGAGCCAGTGCTCCGCGCTGCAGCGCCTGTGCCTGGTCTCCCGCAGCGGCACCCTGCAGCCGGAGGCTGTGCTGGCCTTTATGGCGCGCTGCGTGCACGTCGTTGTGTGCCACATGTTCACCGGGGAGTCGCTCGCCACGTGCAAGAGCCTGCAGCAGACCCTCCTGCGAAGGTGAGTGGGCACAGTGGGGCGGGCCTGGGGACAGGGGCTGGCCGCACCATCCCACGGCCTGCTCGTCCTTCCTCCCTCAGGCTTCTTTGGGAGTCCAGCAGTAACTCTTTGGATTCAGAAATGCTGGAGAGTGGAGCGAGAAAAGAGGCCAGGCCGCTCCCTCGCACAGCAGTGCCTCATGTCCCTGGCCACGCTCTCTGCCTCGCGGCTGGGGCCGCCTGCCCTAAGCATGACTCCTGCTGGCATCCTGCGGCTTCTGGAAGGGACTGCCTCTGCTCCTGCAGCTTGGTGATGGGTGCCAGGACTGAGTAGTACCCCGTGGCCAGGCAGCCGCCGGCCTCAGGCTTGGTCACTTTGCCCAGGGAGCCTTTTTCTGTTCTGGGGTCTGACTCGGAGCCTCCTCATGCTTGGTTGTCTTGGCTTCTTAACCCTTTTGTCTGTGACAGACCCTGGTCTTTCCTAGTCCCCTCGTGACTTTGACACTTCTGAGGAGCACTGGTCAGCTGTTTGGTAGAATGTCTATCAGTTTGGGTTTCTCTGATATATTTTTGCCAGAAAATCACAGAGGGGATGCCATGTCCTCAGTGTGACTCATCAGTGACTGGTGTTGTCACGTCTCTCACCCCTGGTGATGTTACATGGTGTCTGAGGTTCCTTCACTGTGAAGCCACTGTTACTCCCTTTCCAACTAATACACATGCTGTGGGGAGACACCTCAAGAGTCTGGGGATACCTTGTCTGTTGTTGGACCTTTGCGCGCTGACTTAGCACCCAGCTGTGGATCTTGTCAGCAGCAGTTGTTTGATGTTTGGCTAACGATGGTTTTCTGTTGTCTTCATTCCTCCTCCATTGTTAGTATGAACTCTACTGTGAGAAAGCTGTTCCTTCTCCCCATTTATTTATTCAATTATTTACTTACCTCAGCGTGGACTTGTGAATGTTGACTTTATGCAAGGGGTTCTAGTCCATGCATGCTGTGCATGTTCATGTTGTTACACAGTGTTCCAGGTTTGCCTGTGGGGTGTTCTTTCAGGTTGAGTCCTGTGCCCTTTTATCACGCCTCTTCCTACGCATTCCAGGCTCATCTTAATTTTCTCTGTCCCAGCCCTGGAATCAGCGCCATGCCTCCATGGAGTCTGGTCCCTTCCATTGGAGAGGGAGATTAGAGACCAGGCTTGGGTTATTAGGTGCACTCAGTGCTGCTGGGGTGTTATTGCCTCCAGGCCCTTCAGTGGACGGAGTGCGAAATTGATCTCTGTATGTCCTGCCCAGCATTACAGGGTTCCCTCCATCTGTGAAGGCCTAGCTCTCCTTAATCCACAGTGTGCTTGCTGACTTGTTCAGTCCTAGTGTGTGTGAGAGGCAGTTTCAGAATGGCTGGCCCTTCACCCTGTGCGACACAAATCTGTGACCTGAAGGATAGTATTTGTGCACATTCTTGTCTCATCCTCACGGTCTCTAGTCTGAACACTGCTTTCCAATGTTACTTAGGATTGTACTTTGCTTCCCTGCATCCTTCACTGTGAGCAAGTTGCTCGTTTGTAATACAGTTAGGTTCATTTATTACTGCTTTTTTTTTTTTTGAGAGGGCATCTCTCATATTTATTGATCAAATGGTTGTTAACAACAATAAAATTCAGTATAGGGGGGTCAATGCTCAATGTACAATCATTAATCCATCTCAAGCCTAATTCTCGTCAGTCTCCAATCTTCTGAAGCATAACGAACAAGTTCTTACATGGTGAACGAATTCTTACAGAGTGAATAAATTCTTACATGGTGAACAGTACAAGGGCATTCATCACAGAAACTTTCGGTTTTGATCATGCAATATGACCTATAAACCATCAGGTCAAATATGAATATTCATTTGATTTTTGTACTTGATTTATATGTTGATCCCACATTTCTCCTATTATTATTATTATTTTTATTTTTAATAAAATGCTGAAGTGGTAGGTAGATGCAAGATAAAGGTAGAAAACATAGTTTAGTGCTGTAAGAAGGCAAATGTAGATGATCAGATGATCAGGTGTGTGCCTATGGACTAAGTATTAATCCAGGCTAGACAAGGGCAGCAAAACATCCACGGATGCAGAAGATTTCTCTCAAAGCAGGGGGGATGAGGTTCTGAGCCTCACCTCTGTTGATCCCCAATTTCTCACCTGATGGCCCCCCTGCGACTGTGCCTGTCTTAGGTTGTTCCTCCCTTGAGGAATCTTACCCGTCTCTGGCTAACCAGTCATCTTCTGGGGCCATACAGGGAAATGTAAAGTTGGTAAGTGAGAGAGAAGCCATATTGTTTGAAAAGGTTAGCTTTTTACTTCTTTGCAGATTTATGCCCTGTGGCTTCTATGCCCAGCACTTGTCTCGAGGTATCTTTACCACCTGGAGGAATTATGATACTCGGTAAATTCGATATGAGGCACGAATATTACTGCTTTTATATTCCATGTTGCATTCACCGCACGTCCTGGTAGATTTTATTTATTTTTTTTGTGTGCAAAAAATGTGCTTGGATAAGAGCCACCCACAGCCCATGTCTCTTCTTCCCTGCCGCCACCCGCCCCTCTCCAGCCACGCAGTTCTCACCTAATCTTTCTGTATTTCTGTTGCATAGACAAGCAGGTATGGAATACTTTACTCAGATCCCCACCTTTTTCATATGCAGTTCGTTTTTTCACTGAATAATGTATGTCTTGGAAATCACATTGCAACAGCTCATATAACTCTTGCTCATTCCTTTTACAGCTTCACATTTCTTCACTGTGTAACATACAACAAAAAAATTTACCTGCTTTTAACTGTTCTTTCTAAACTGTTTTTAAGTGTCTAGTTCAGTAGCATTGAGTGCATTCATGTTGTTGGCAGCTGTTACCACTGTCCCTCCACGGAACTTCTCATCTTTCCAAAGTGGAGCTATGTTCCCACTAAACACTCATTCCCCATCTTCCTTCCCAGCCCCAACCCCTGACCCTGCCACCCACCATCTACTTTCTGTCTCTGAATTTGATGACTCCTGGGGCCTCATAGAAGTGGAACCATACAATATTTGTCCTTTTTGTATATGGCCTTTTCTGCATTCTTTTTGAAATTTAAGAAGCTTAAAAAATAGAAATGAAGGATTATCCTATAATGATTGAAATAAAGTCCCTTTAACTCCCTGAACCTACCAATATGAGTTTGCTTTCTGAATCTTTAAAATACATCCCCAAGTATCCATGAGAAGCAGTGTTTTGTTTTGGTGTGTTGTAACCTCCATAACCATGTATTGTCGCCCATGGGTGTGCAGACTGTTTTTTTCATCAGGCATTGTTTTGAGATCTGTCATTGCTGCTCACATGGCGCTCCTTCATTCCTGTTGGGCGCTGTGTGTAGTAATCCTTCAGATAGATTCATTGCATTTATCTTGCAAGCTATTGATGGATATTCTGGTTGTCTCCTCTGTCCCAGTGAATATACTTATTTGCCTTTGTTTGTGTCAGGCAGCATGTTCCCAGAAGTGGCACTACTCAGGCGTGTTCAAGAAAATGCCAAAATGCTCTCCAAAGCCTGTTTCCCATAGTGGGGCGGGAGAGTTCTTGCCCCACGGCCTTGCCCCATTCCATGGTACTGTCAGACTTCCCAGTTTCCTGGGTCCTTTATGCCTCCTGAGCTTGTGTCTCATCTGTCCCCAGTGAGGAGCATTTGGTGTGTTTATTTGCCAGGTTGCATCTTCTCGTCTGAGAGCATCTCTTCAGATCCCTGACTTTTCTGTTGGGCTTCTTTTTTTTTTTGAATTTTTTATTAAGGTACGATTGATATACACTCTTATGAAGGTTTCATATGAGAAAACAATGTGGTTACTACATTTACCCATATTATCAAGTCCCCACCCATACCCCAATGCAGTCACTGTCCATCAGTGCAGCAAGATGCTGCAGATTCACTATGTGCCTTCTCTGTGCTACACTGTTCTCCCTGTGAACCCCCACACCATGTGTACTAAACATGATACCCCCAGTCCCCTTCTCCCTCCCTCCCCACACACCCTCCCACACCCCTCCCCTTTGGTAACTACTAGTTCATTCTTGGAGTCTCTGAGTCTGCTGCCATTTTGTTCCTTCAGTTTTGCTTCATTGTTATATTCCACAAATGAGGGAAATCATTTGGCATTTGTCTTTCTCTGCCTGGCTTATTTCACTGAGCATAAGGTCCTCCAGCTCCATCCACGTTGTTGCAAATGGTAGGATTTGTTTCTTTCTTATGGCTGAATATGTGTATATGTATCACATCTTCTTTATCCATTCATCTGCTGATGAACACTTAGGTTGCTTCCATATCTTGGCTATTATAAAAAGTGCTGCGATAAACATAAGGGTGCATATGTCTTTTTGAATCTGAGAAGTTGTATTCTTTGGGGATATTCCAAGTCCAAGGAGTGGGATTCCCAGGTCAAATGGTATTTCTAGTTTTAGTTTTTTGAGGAACCTCCATATTGCTTTCCACAGTGGTTGAACTAGCTCACATTCCCACCAGCAGAGTAGGAGGGTTCCCCTTTCTCCACATTCTCGCCAGCATTTGAGTCTTTTCGATGCTGGCCATCCTTACTGGTGTGAGGTGATAATCTCCTTGTGGTTTTAATTTGCATTTCCCTGATGATTAGTGATGTGGAGCATCTTTTCATGTGTCTGTTGGCCATCTAAATTTCTTCTTTGGAGAACTGTCTCTTCATATCCTCTGCCCATTTGTTAATCGCGTTATTTGCTTTTTCAGTGTTAAGGCATCTAAGTTCTTTATATATTTTGGATGTTAACCCCTTGTCGGATATGTCATTTCCAAATATATTCTCCCATACTGTAGGATGCCTTTTTGTTCTGTCGATGGTGTCCTTTGTCGTACAGAAACTTTTTAGTTTGATGTAGTCCCATGAGTTCATTTTTGCTTTTGTTTCCCTTTCTCAAGGAGATATGTTCAGGAAGAAGTTGCTCGTGCTTATATTCAGGAGATGTTTGCCTATG